GCTCAGTGGTCTGAGGTGCCCTTGAGCAAGACACTGAACCCCCCCCTGAACCCCCCCCCCCAAAAAAAATTAAAAATAATAATATATATATATATATATATATATACATCACATTGTTAAGTCACTCTTGTTAAAGCGTTAACTTTCTGACAAAATTAAATGGTTTAGCAGTTGGAAATTATTTAATCCAAAACCATGCATTGTATTTTGATGATGCTTTGAATGGTAGCAAATGCAAAGCAAATAATAAGGCTACTTATTTCTGTAAAAAAAAGAGAGAGAATTTAGAAATACAGAAAATGTAGGCTACATATCCAGAGTAGGCTAAATATAGCCTACCTCTCCACTCCAGCTTTCTGTGGTGGAAAATCAAGGCAATCTGCATGCTAAAATCAATTTAACCACAAGATCAGTTTGGTGGTGTGGTATCATCTTTATGAGCAGAATAAAAATTGAACATAAAATGACAAATAGATTACTATAAACGTTTAATATGGAAGGTTCGTAGACACTGTTTTTCATACTGTAGAAAATAATGTAATGTAATTTTGTCACCAGGTGATAATGTGTCATAATATCTTATAATATCTCATAACATCATGTAATGTCATATATCGTGTCATTAATGAAGCTTTCTAATGGAGAAGTGATTAAAAGAGGGCATGACAACAGCATGGGCGGCAGTAGCTCAGTCTGCTCAGGACTTGGGTTGGGAAGCGGAGGGTCGCCGGTTCAAGTCCCGGTGCGGACCAAATATGGAAGTTGGTCTGGTAACTGTAGAGGTGCCAGATCACCTCTTGAGCACTGCCGAGGTGCCCTTGAGCAAGGCACCAAACCCCAAGGGCCGCTCCATCACTCTGACATCTCTCCATTAGTGCATGTCTATAGGATTCTGTTTCTGCATGTGTGTGTTCATGACTTACAGAGAGTAAATAAATCAATAAAAGGAAATCTTAAATCTTGACACTTCATTCACAGACATCCTGTCCGTTCCCCTTTAACACGTGGGTCATGACGTACGGTCATGACGCTTGACGACGCCCCCTGCTGTTCAACAAGCAGCACAACAAGGAAGTGTTCCGAGTCACCAGCTCAACCCGTTTGATCAGAACGAGCATGTCGACCAATGTTTTCCTTGTAAGGTAAGAAACACTTTTAGAAAGTGTCAGTCAGTCTTACGTGAACACATATGTTCTAATCCTGTCGTTAGATATAAAAGTGTTCTCTTTAATCTCCAGCTTCAAGGGTGTAAACATCGCAACTAGCCACTAGTTTCACTTTCTAGAAGTGACAGCAATTGATACGAACTTCAGCTAAACTACGCAGTAAAAACACATCGAAGTCTTTCCACGGTGACTACATTTAAGTCTTTGGAGGTAAAGTTTCTCCTAGAAAAATACACTTAGGCTGCACAACACCTTGCCCTTTATACATGATATCATAAACCGGACGAGCTTCCTGTTTGGTAGCTTTTCAGTGTCAGCTAGGCCATGATAACCAACATGACATGCTAAGTTTTAGTCAGTCCTAAGTTTACGTGAAAAATCCTTTAATTTAGCTGCAAACCGATGTTGACAGTCCTACAAGCTAAACAAAGCATGTAGGAGAATATTAGCCTGTTAGCTGCTAATGTAAAATGCATGTGCAGAAAGTAAACAACACGAGGGAGTGTGTCAGGAGGCTACCAGTGGAAAAACAACAACACTGAGGTAAAACTGAGTAAAACTCTTTCCTGTATTCAGTAATAGGTAATGTAGGATATGTGTTTTTAAAGGTTGAACAAAATGTTTTAAAAAAATAATAAAATAAAGCAATACACTGTTATTGAATGTGTTCTGGAAACTTCCAAGTTTAACATGTATGGGCCTATAACTCAGAAACTTTGTACTTCTGACTGCCCAATTTAAATAATATGTTAATTTGTTTGAGTTGTGAGTCATTGTTTATAATCAATGTGCTCAGATATTTTTCAAATCATTACAAGTCACATGGTGAAGACTTGCGTTAATTTAAGTTTACATTTTCACCAATACGATCCTGTAATTTTCCAATCTGTAAAATATTGAATATCTCTGTGCTGTGTCAGCTTTAGTTGTTATGAAACTGTCATTCATGTTATTTCAGGAGTTTGACATGTAGTGTTGTATATTATGGCCTTGTGTGAAATTTTACAGTGTGGACCCACCCTTTTTGTTACAGTTAATTTGGCAGACGCTTTTATCCAAAGCTACGAACATCAGAGTAAGTACAACACAAGCCAGGATTTAGAAAGGAGGGGAACAACGTCTGTAAGTGCAAGCTGACAGCTTTAAGTCCGATTGGACACTCAGGTGATGGCAGGCAGTGCACAGAGGTAAAGCACTCTTCCCCCTTTATTCAAAGTGAATATATCGCCATCAACAGCATCAAAACCATCCTAGATATCGTCATCATCATCAGATGATTTGAAAATCTCAGATACCATTTGATTCTACACACCACACCACAATTTCCAAAAGCCAAGATGACATGTGATACCTTTTTGTTTTTACTGATCATGGACGACAAGCATTCAATAAAGCAAAGATATTCAATTGAATGTATAAAACAATCAAAGGAAGGCAGCAGTAGCTCAGTCTTTAGGAACTTTGGTTTGAAACCAGAGGATTCAAGTCCTGGTGCAGACCTAGACTGGAAATTGGTCTGGTAGCTTAAGAAGTGCTGGATCACTTCCTGAGCACTGCCATGGTGCCCTAGAGCAAGGCACCAACCCCCCAGCACTAATTCAGGAGCTTCTCTGTTCTTGTGTTTTCTTTTAAGGATGCCTGTTGAAAACCTGGAGGAGAGGACACTGGAGGTGCTGGATCTGCCTGAAGAAGTTGATGAGGAGCTGCTCTTTCTGTACTTTGAGAACAAACGGCGCTCCGGGGGAGGTCCACTCGTTTCTGTGGAGAAGAAGGCCGGCCGAGCCTTACTGGTGTTTGAAGAGGCAGAAGGCAAGTGGCAACACGGAGTCGTTTTATCAATTCATTTGTCATGTGTAAGCTTTTGACATGAGATGCTTCGAAACATTTTGTGCCTCGTTTGTGACATTTAATTTAAGTAAATCAACACCTTTTGGATAACTTGTGTTGTGAGTGCTCAACAAAGATCAGATATCTGCAGAATCTTATTTTAAGGTGTTTGTTAAAAGTCTGACTAATTTGACTCCTATTTGTTCTAAGATTTGTGTCAGTTTCTCGATCTTATATTGAGCAAGTTAGGGGGAGCAGACTTTCTGCAGAGCCTTAAAAAGTCTGAAACAATATTTTTTTTAATTTAAGGTGATAAAACGTCTTCAAAATTATTATTTTTTTTAACTTTTAGATTTCCCTTTGACTTAAATCTGTCTGGATTCTTTATCTACACGACAATTCATGAAATTAACCAGAAACATTTACAGCAGCATTTATGGGATGAATTATGTATGAATTTTGGCAAAGTTTTAAATGTTTAGCAAGATATGCAAAAGAAAATTAACTAAAATTAACAATGGCAGACAAAGCAGTGAAGTCCCATGAGAAATGCGAAAAAGAACCTATGCTACGTGGTGCAAAGATTTTATGAACGTTTGTTTGTTTGTGTCTTAAAAGGTCTTAAAATGTCTTTAATTTGATTAAAAAAGTGTTTTACAACAACCCTAAAGTAGTGCCTAAAAATCACTTCTTGTTTCCTCCAGAATCTCCTGGAAAACGAGCTCTACTCTGCTCAGAGGAAAAAGCTAATTCTCGGCACAAAATGAAAACCATGCTTTCTTCTTTTTTATTTCTGCTCTTTGGATTTTGACAGCTGCAGCTCGAGTGCTGGATAATGGCCACCATGTTCTGCATAATGCAGAGCTGTGTGTGAGGAAGCCGGCCACAAAAGACCCATGTAGACTCCTGCTGCGAGGGATCAACCCAAAGACCAGCGTCGAGATGATTGAGCTTTTTGTGGAGAATATGATGAATCTGGATGACTACAGTCTGCATCCGTCACCTGGGAGAGACCTCATCCTCATTCATCTTAGCCAACCCTTCTCTAAAGGTGAAGTACTTTTTATTTTAATCTTTAAAAGTCACAGATTTTTTTTGCAAAAGCGTTTGAAATTGTCATTTACTTTTATGGAATCATTTTAGTCTAATTGTTTCTTTGCAGATTTCCAAAGCGTTAGTGCTAAAATCTCCAAGAGGACCCTTGATGGAGCCAAGTTAACTCTCGAACAGGTTGAACAAACGGACTCCATCTTGGTGCAGAACCTGCACCCTGGCACCGCTACAGAACTGCTAACTTTATACTTTGAGAACAAGGGGGGCGGGAGTGAGAAGGTGAAGGAGGTCACCAGGCTTTCAGAGGGCACAGCCAAAGTGTCCTTCACAAATTATCAAAGTAAGTTTTGTAGAATACTATTTTAGAAAAAATATTTCCTTTTCGTTGTCCTTAACAAACAACATGTTGTCATGTATTTCTTCTATCAGCTGTTGACATGGTTTTGGATCAGCGCCACAAACTGGACAGAGCTGATCTTGAAGTCAGGGCGTTCTTCGACTTTCTTCAACCTGCACAGAGTTTAACATCACAAGAGTCTGCAGTAGAAGCCCGAGACACAACTGAGAGAAACAACGAGGACCTGAGGGACCTGAGGGATACCCCCATGCAGACTAGTCCTCCTATTGTCGCCAGCGCTAACAGCCAGTCGTCCTCCGGAATGGCTTCGGGGTCCCTTGCTGGCCATGCCACTGTAGAAATGGATGCAGCCGAGGTCATGGATGCAGCCGAGGTCATGGGTGCAGCCGAGGCCATGGGTGCAGCTGAGGTCATTGAGGATCAAATGCAGGAAGAAGAAGAAGAAGAAGAAGAAGAAGAAGAAGAAGCACCAACAAGCCATATTCCTATTGCGGAGCCATCAAAACTAGCTTTGTTTCAACTCAGCAGCTTTAAACAAGACACTGAAAAGGCTCATCCAAATTTCACCATCCAAATCAAAGACAATGGTGTGCACATTGCAGGTGCTGACAGACAAACGATAGAGCAGATAAAAGGCACAATCTTGGACTTTTTTGGCAAAATGGCTGAGAGTCATTTCACCCTTGAGCCAGAGATGGCTAATTTCCTCGCCAGAACAGATGTCAAAGAGCGTCTAGAGAAAGCAATGAATGCATCTGGGTTATCCTCTATTTACACCGTTTCCGACTGTAATGTTTTGGTAACCTCCCTAAGTCAGAACTCCGCGAACCAGGGGTGTAGCTTTTTGAAATCACAGATTTGTCACTTCAGCATACCTGTGGTCTCCGAATATGAGTGCATGTTCTATTGCAGGGAGTGGACTGAGTTCCTGCAGTCTCTGAGTTTCACCTCTGTAAAGGTGTCGGAACGAGAAAGGGACATCGATGTGTTAACTCTGAAAGAGATGGAGAGTGAGAAGCAGACTGCAATCATAGGGTTTCTTACTACACCCATTGAAAGGGAGACGATCATCCCTATGGAACCGGACATGCTGAAATACATCCAGAACCATTGTCATCAGCTGATGGCTGACATGGACCAAGTGTCCATTTTCCCACTGGAAGCAGAAGACGTTTGTGGGTTAAAGGTATGCGATGCATCAGTTTCATGTGAATAAATGTCCATATATTTTGTACGACTTGCTGAAATGTGTTAAGGAAAATCAGTAGCCCTTCTGATTCTGTTTTTTGTTTTTTAATCCCCCTGTAATGTTAGATCCATGGCCCTGCCATTGCCTGTCAAATGGCTGAGGAGGTGTTGCAAGGTATCGTTTCCTCCACCCTCACCAAAACCATCACCTTTAGTGCTCCTGGAATTACCCGCTTTTTAGTTGTAGAGGACTGCAAGAGCATCCTAGAGGAGATGCAGAGAAAGTTCCAGGTCTATATCAATATCCAGCATGTGCCCTGGGAACCACTGCGAAACCAGGTACTGAAATAATAGAACTAATCACCAACTTTCTTATCTGTTCTTTTCTTCTGTGTATTTGAAGCTGTGATATGTGACCTCATTGTATCTCACTTCCTTTCAGTTGGCCAGCTATTCATTCATATTCAAGTGCTGTGCGCCTTGATGCCGTGTACAGTAATAGCCTGAGGCTCACTTAACAAGCACACACCAGGCAGACAAAACACACAGAGGTTTACTGTGTTACAGAACAAGTCCTGCCTGCCAGCATTACTGTGCCATTTTACTGCTGCTTGGCTATCAGCTTAATGTCAAACACAGTTTATTTAACCAGATAAAGAACCCATTGAGATCAGGATCTCTTTCACAAGGGTGACCTGGCCAAGCACATGTCAAAAGAAAAGTTGCAATTAAGCGATAGTACAGCTTAACAACATAGTGTTTTCAATAAAAAGAAAGTGTGGGAGCTGTGACAATAAAACAACAATTTAAGATTTTAAAAACACAGGCACTGTTCAATGGTCTCACGCTGTCTGTCCCTCAAGATAGAACGGAAAGCTCCAAGTGGAATAAGTTCAGGGAGTTTTAATTCAGTCTGTAGAGTATTCCATGCCGATGGGGCAGCAAAGCTGAAAGCTCTTTTTCCTAATTCAGTCCTTACCCGAGGAACAGATGGAACAAGTGTAGTACAAGAACGCAGGGCATAGCGACCATAGCTTGTTCTCCGTAATAAAGCACACAAATATAAAGGAATGAAGCCCTAAAAGAGCCTTGTAAATTAGGGTCAGCCAGTGTGCGTATCTGTGTGCACTCAAAGAAGGCAAGTTCGATTTCAAATACAATTCACAAAAAAACAAACATGTTCAGGAGTGTTAATGTTCACAGAGAAACCAACTTCAGGAACACAGTATCAACACAGGATGAGGAGGCAGGCATACTTCAATAAGTTATTCCATTTTGCGTCATGTTGTACAAAACATATATATTTTAACTTTGACCAAATGGGAATCATTCTCCAACATCTTCCTTTGGATTTTTATTCGATGCTTTCTTAAGAAGATGCTAAGAAAAGTATCAGGTAGATTCATGACACTTTCTTAAGCTGCTTAATATTATGCACTTGTGTACTCTTAAATCGATGAATGCCATGCCCTCGGAAGCTGGAAACTTGTGCATGTCGTCGTCGTCGCCTCCCCCCCCAATTAACAAAGACCCTATGATTCCTGTATTAGGTTATGAGACTGCAGGGCTGTGTGCATACGCAAGGGTCGCACAGGATTGAAAAAAAGTAAATAAATAGACACTGAGAATGTCCAAATTAAGTAAGAAAGCACAAGAAATATGCTTTTGCACTATCAGCTCTCAAATGTTCCTAGATTTTGCTCTTAGCTGCGAACAAATCCCAGATAAGAAAACTTAGGTGATTGTCAGAATTTTCTTAAACTATGTGTAAGTGGGTTTTTAACAACAAATGTATTTTCCAATAACGCTTTGTGAAGGACTCCCAACAACTTTATTACTCCTGGTACTTTTTCCAAAACATACGGAGTTTTGAGATAAATGATGCTCTCCCAGTCTTTGAGTAAATACCTGTACATTGGTAGAGAAGTCTTAAAAACATTGCTTGAGATATCATTGACTGTTGTTTGATTTAGTGAAAACAACATTGAAGTTCTTTTATAATTCAGTTACCGTACAGTTTGAGGAGCAAGACATCTGACTCAGTATCTTTTTAATGCAGAAATTACTTCTTTTTTTTTTTCTTTAAAAAAAAAAAATCAATATTCTCTGATTGCTAATTCTGTTAACATTGTATGCAAATATGTTGTCTTTTAGCAGCTTGCTTTTTGAACTCAACAACATGGAAGTCATCAAAAGCTTTTTTCTTGTAATCCGCGTCGTCCTTTTTCAAAAACAATTCTTGCCTTCGGAGACTCCGCCACCTCCTGTCTGACAGGGAAAGTCTCTTGCTGTGAGGTGCTGATGTCAACAGGCAACTCTGAACTTGAAGATTTCAAAGGCAGCCTGTCGTGAATTTTTTCTTGAAGTGGCTGTGGGGAAATCGCTTTAGTCTCTTTAAGACCAAAGTGGAGTAAATTTGTCTTTGTATTACTACATTGAAATAAGAAGGCAGAAACAAAGCCCAAAACTTGTGATGATAATCTTGATGACTGTTGTTTTTTCAGAACATTCTTGAAGCTGCATGGACACTGATGTCGCACAAAAACTTCCAGAGAATGTCTCCGGGTGGTTCTTCACAGGAGTTAAAATCCGATTCAATGCAAACTGATCATGATGAAGCTGCAGGCAAAGGTAATATCTGTCTCTGAAGTTATTGATCATATTTCTGTGCAGTCTCAAACAATCTGTTTACCTCTTTGTAGGCCTTTTAGATGAGGCAAAGAGAATTGTCTCAGCCATTGATGAAAGACCCCAGGAGGCGGTGTCTAATTCAGACACAGTCAATGATGTGGATGAAGAGGATCTGTACACAGCTGAGGCACCAACTACCCCTGCAGACCAGGACCAGGGTTTGATGGTTGTCGATGCTCCCCTGCTCTCGCCCGAGGAGAATGCTACTGGTGGGTGTCCCCAGCTGAACGATGATGATGAAGCTCTGGGCCGCTCCATGGAGCTTGAAGAAGAGGCACAACTGTCTTTAGCCATCCAGTACTCTATGGAGACAAGCCATTGGTCCGTGGAGGATGAGGAGGAACAGCTACAAAGAGCCTTGGAGCTATCCAAGACAATGGTTCAACATGAAGTTTCCTCTAGTAGTACTGACAAAAGCCCCAAAGTAGGCAAAATAAGCAAGAACATGAATACTGTAATACAGGACGCCATGAAGGCAGCCAGCACAATACATCTGCATGTGTTTGCAGCTTATACTTCTGACCTGAGTAGGGTGGAAATAGCCTTCGGGAAGAAGGTTTCCTTGAGACAGGTAGAGGAGAGAGTAGAGCACCGGGCTTTAAGGAAACTGTCTAAGTACCACAGGAATTGTCTCGAGTTGATCAAGAGAAAGCATGCTGTCGAGATTCAGCTTCAGGGAACCATAATCACTGTTTCGGGCTTCAAGGATTTTGTGCCTGGGGGAATTTCGGATGTGAACCTGCTGCTGGAACAAATTTCCAACTATGTACCCGAGCGTGAAATCCTGAAAGCTGTTCAGTGGCTGCATCATGACCCAGACTCTTCAGACATGACTCCGTACTCGCCGGATGCTACCGTGTTCATTGAGAATATTTGGAGGAAGAAGCAGACAACGGTTGACATTTTGCTGGACAATCAGCCCCACACCCTGGACTTTGAGAAGATGCAAGAATGCAACATAGCTACTGGGAAATCCGTGAAAATCTTCAGGAAAATTATCGATATAGGGGATGTGGAAGACGATGTGCCAGGTAAAGGGAACTTTGTTGTCTTGTCTTTTTCTGCAGAACATTGCCAATGTGTTAGAGCCACAGTGTTTAAAAATGCATGCTACAGCAGTATCACTGAGACAAACTTTACATATTTGATGGAAGTTACATTTGCACATCATGCGAAAAATTGCAATTTTGCCATAGCGTCACCTACTGGTAAGACACAGTAAACCTTGAGAGACACGGCTAAATTGGTTTATGTTGTCGAAAACACTGAAAAGCACCACACCGCATTGTGCGAAGGCTTTTTCAGTGCGGCCCTCAGCCCTACTTATTTTTGTTTTGATTATCAACAGTCTGATCATCTTTTTACATATTTTGAACTTCATGTATATGTTAGCAAGTCCGTCCATCCAAACATTATCTATACCGCTTTTCACGTTCTGGGTCCAGGGGGGACTGGAGCCGATCCCAGCTGTCATTGGGCGAGAGGCGGGGTTACACCCTGGACTGTTTGCCAGTCAATCACAGGGCTGACATACAGAGACAGACAACCAGACACAGTCACATTCACACTTACGGGCAATTTAGAGTCACCAGTTAACCTAACGAACATGTCTTTGGACTGTGGGAGGAAGCCGGAGTACACATGCATGCACGGGGAGAACATGTAAACTCCACACAGAAAGGCTCTGTCTGATCCGACAGGGATTGGAAACAGGAACCTTCTAGCTGTGAGCAACAGTGCTAACCAATGCACCACCCTGTAGCTATATGTTAGCAAGCAATTTTTAAATAAAATCCCTTCTTTTTTTTTTTTTCAAATAATGCTTTCATTGATGAAAACTGTTTGTTTGTAGAAGAGGAATACTCTCTGCTGTCCAACCTTCCTGAGGCAAGCAAAGTCGACGAGGACTCTGACGAATTTCAGAATGTGATCAAAAGTTTCTATGAGACCATACAAGAGTATCACAGCAAAATCAGAATCATAAAGGTAAACAAAAATTGTGACAAAAAGTGGAGGGGGTGAACAAAAAAAAAGAAGCATTTTTGGTGTGTATATTAAAAGTCACATTTCCATCAGGTGGAGAAGCTCATGAATCGACTCCTGTACAATCAGTACAAGTTGAAGAAGGCCAGTGTACTGCAGCGCGCCACATATCCGGTTATTGAACGGACACTCTACCATGGCACAAGTGAGACGAGTGTGAAAGAGATCTGCGTTCATGGGTTCAACAGAAGCTTCTGTGGAAAGAATGGTATGTTTTTAACAAATTGTCTCTAGTTGTCACTGTGTTTGTGTTATCTTGAGTATTAATTGCTGACATCTTGGTTTCTCCATGCAGCCACCGTCTATGGCCAGGGGGTGTATTTTGCTGTCAACTCTGGACTGTCCGTCCAGGATCAGTATTCACCCCCAAATGCAGACGGACACAAATTTATTTTTGTGTCCAAGGTTCTAACAGGGGACTACACCAAGGGCTGCCATTCGATGAAAACGGCCCCTCTGAAGGAGACCGGAGATATTCCCCTTAGATACGAGAGCGTGACTGACGACATCACCAAGCCGTCAATGTTTGTCATCTTCAACGATACGCAAGCTTTTCCTGAGTATCTCATTACATGCCAGAGAATTCACAGATGAGGAAACGGATTAGTCGGGATGAAGAGATGCCGCTGATGAGCATAAAATATGAAGAAAGAAAGGACTTCTAATTTCCCTGCATTTGATTGGAAAGTGCATTCGACTTGAAAGGGCTAACGTGTTATCGTTTTCATTTGGTATTTTCACTTTCATTATCAAAATATCATTGAGTATTTTGTTGTTGGCTGTTTGATTTGTAGCCCCACTTCCTTCAGTGAAGTCAAGTTTGATCAAGAGAAACTCAGAAACCTGAACTCGAGTTGCCCACTTTGATTTTATTTCTTAAAAACGTGCCCTTTCAGCACAATCCCACTCCCTTCTGTGGCTTAAACTGAGTAACTCAACAGCTATTACATGACATTTCACTTGTAATAGTCATTTGATGTGTGTAAGGATTGCTAATCCGTGCAACATTTATTGTCTTTGCCTTACTTTGAAGCATCCAATCTAAGTTTTTTGTAAAGATTTTGATTCACTAATCAACCCTTATTGATCTGCTGCACATAGCTCTAGATTTACCTTCATAGAGGTGATTGTATCAATGTGTGAATACCAAAAACATTAATCAGTTAATAGCCCAGGCTTTTATTTACTCTAGTCTATAAAATAACCCTGCCTTTGTTTGGAACAGGCGTCAATACGAGACAGCCTTTAATTAGTTGCAAACAACTTGAGCGCGGCAATAATGGGAAAGACTATCAAATTGTAAATCAGAAAGAATATTTAACTGTTGTAATATTTGACAACGTCAGGATATCGATAAACCAATTTAATTACAATTCACTTATTTGATCTCGCTTTGTAAGCCAGCCTCGAAATCGGTCTTATGGTCTTGGTTTTGTCTCCATCTAGCCCTGTCTTGGTCTTGACTCTGTCACGATCCTTTAATGTCTTTGTCTCATCTCTGTCTCGGAGCACTCTGGTCTCTGTCTTGAATACAACACTAAGCCAGCTCATCCAGACCAATTTGGGCTTAAATTAAAATGGGATTTTATTTGAAGTTTTATGGTGCATCAATATGAAAGTTTGATATGCAATTCACACCGTGCTAATTATTATACTATCTGCCTGTAATGACGTGATATACCGAAATTCTGATTCGACTTTAAAATGTAGCTCATGTTCGTGTTCTAATTTGTTTTGTTTTTTTTATCGGGTTTCCCTGAAGTTACTCTACAATGTCAAGGTTCTGGAGGTTTTATTTTTTATCTTGATTATTTAACAAAAATTGTTTAAGCGTTTGTTTTCCCCATTGTAAAAAAAATAAAAAAAAAACAGCTTTGGAGTATTTGTAAATATCATAATTGTTTTTAAGAAAAATAAAGATCCTTCAAATGATGAAACATAAGGAGTGGAATTAAAACATTTTTATAGAATGCCCTTTTTGCATGCTCAAAGCAAAGTTAGATTTATTTTCTGTTCAGATTTATTTCAGAATGTCTTATAATAATATTTACACACAGCAGACACAGAGACGAAAAAGGAATCATGCTGCAAACATCGACCAATGTAAAACTGTAACGTTAGTTAGGAGATGGACTGATGTATTTATTGAAAAGTCACAGAGATTTTCTTCATTCAGAACCACTGTCACCAGCTGTTTGCTTACATGGACATGTCACCCCCCCCCCCCCTCCCCTCACTGGAAGCAGAAGATATTTGTGGGTTTGAGATGCATCAGGGTCACATATCCTTATATTTTAAATATTTATGTCTCGTTGAAACGTAGCACTCATAGAATGTGTCCGATAAGATTGCTTGGTCAGAGCTCACTGTTAGTTGTGTCAGCACCACATTTATAAATTAGTTATTATAAATATGTTATTTTCATGAATATTATGAGATGAGATTCAACTTTATTGTCATTACACATATAAAAGTATAGAGTAACGAAATGAGGTTTGGCATCTCACCAGAAGTGCAAATAAGCAGAAAGTGCAAGAGTATGTACAAGGAATTACAAAATTTACAGATGTAGACTAAAAGAAAATGAATTATTGGAGTATATATGGCTGGATTAATGGGATGCTATAAATATAAATACATGCTATAAATATAAGTTATATTAATTATTATAAAAAATAATCATGATTTATTGTTAAATGTTGCTTTGAACAAAGTTATATTGCCTTAATGAAACTTTCCAAACATTTGTGTAATGGTACTACGAAGATCAGTATCAGTGGACCTCGGAAAGCTACAGCTCCAATTACACCATTTTAACCACGGGGGGCAGCATTACGACTCCGAGCAGCTTGTCAGCCGGAAAAGAAAGGGAAAAAAAAACAAAAACGAAGAAGAAGGAAGCGGCAACAACACAAGTTGCTAAGTGCTAGCTTACCTAGCTGTCGGGGAGCTAGTTGTAGTTTGAAAAACCCACAAAATATGACGCCTTAAATGTAAGACGAAGAAGGACACGCAAAGCTGCAGACTCTGATAACGTGATTGATATAGGTACGTTGACAGGTTTAATTCACCATTTGCAAAAAAAAAAAAAAAAACATCTCAGAAAAACGTGTCAGGTGCAGCCGCTGTAACATCATCGAGTTGCTAACAGAGCTAACGTTACCTGCCTTCCCTGCTCAGTCATAACAAAGTCCCCACATGTGAAGTGCTCTGTGCGTGTTTAACTAATACAAAGTAAGGTGTTAAAATGACCTACTCGTTGCAAAAGCCCAATGATGTACATTTATAAATCTTTTGCACGATTCAATCAAACAATGCTTACCTGGTTGTTCAGTGATGTCACAGCCACAACAAAAAAAGCATTTAATAGTATAAAATGTAACATGTGAGGTCAGTATGCATGTTAGATTTTTGTTAATGTTCACCAAAACCAGCTCAGGTTTTTATATTTCATGTCGCTTGAATATGATGCTGTTCCTTCCCTTTTAAAGACAACACACATCTTCACTTCACTTCAGTTCAATTCAATTCTAAAAACTTTATTTGTCCCCGGGGGGCAATTCAAAGACAGACAGAGCAGTAAATGAACAACAGTAAGTAAACAAAACATTTTAACCTAAATAGAAAGTGTCAATTTAAATACAACTTAAAGCTTAAACTTAACTTAAAAATACAAAATATCAAAGAGTGGATGTGAGTGGACAGTGATCGGACTAACAGATGTAAACAGAACTATGTGCAGTAAACGAGAAATAAATACATATGCAGAACTATGTGCAATAGTGACCAGATGTAAACAGAATTATATGCAGTAAATGAGAAATAAATATATACATACAGAGCTATGTGCAAGTAGGCAAATACTAAATGATAAGTTATTAAGGTGCATGGTGAATAATGGAACAACAGAACTAATATATACAATATAACTGTAAGTTCACTAAGTAACCAAACTCAGCTTTGTTTCCCACTGCTGGCAACTTACAAGGCCCTCACGTTTTTCCTATAAAGAAACACTTTGTGTGTGTGTGTGTGTGTGTGTGTGTGTGTGTGTGTGTGTGTGTTTTCCTAATGGGACAGTTACCATCTGAGTGCTTTTTTTTTTTTAGAGATTTTAAAATATGCTTCTACCTGTGTTGTCAGATGCTGAGGGTATCCCACCAGGATGTATGCTGTGTACAGACAAGCCCACACGCCCACTGCGGTGGAGTTTTCTGTCTACTGCAACTTCATATCCAGCAAGGAGAAGAACTTGGTTGTCGCTGGGACGTCTCAGCTGTACGTCTACAGAATTATCCACGATGTGGAGGTAATTGTAATCCTCCGAATCAATTGTTTTCTTTGTTTCATGTTGTGAAACTCAAGCAATGAAACCATCAAAGTCTTTTAGTGATGCGTGTGACATTAATGTTTTTTTTTTTGTTTTGTTTTTTTCAGAGTACGTCAAAGGTTGACAAGTCTTCAGGTAGGTTATGTATTGTGTTTACACTCAAAGTATTAGTAGTAAACTACAACTCTATCATTACTCAGTCATACAAACTTAGTTATTTGCATTAATTTTGATCAGACTTAACTTTTTTTTTGTCTGCAGATACCAAATCCCGTAAGGAGAAGCTGGAGCAAGTGGCATCCTTTTCTCTTTTTGGCAATGTTATGTCCATGGCCAGTGTACAGCTTGTGGGAGCCAGCAGAGATGCACTCCTTCTCAGTTTCAAAGACGCCAAGGTATCATTTTTTTTTTTTTATGCTGAGCATTAAATAACTGTAATTTTTAATGGCCTAAATTAAATAATAGGCAAAAATAACTTGATTTGAGTTGACCTCTTTGTGTGTTTCTTCTTTCAATAGTTATCTGTAGTGGAGTACGACCCGGGGACACACGACCTGAAGACGCTGTCTCTTCATTTCTTTGAGGAGCCAGAGCTTAGAGTATGTACTGTGGGAACAGGAAACACTAAATATATTGGAAAAAATAAAATGTTTGTAGATTTATCTGTCAAAAAATAGAAAAACGTTTAACATGAGCAAGCTTATGAATCCTGTTTTTCTTTTCATTTTCAGGATGGTTTTGTGCAGAATGTACATATTCCCATTGTGCGTGTTGATCCAGAGAATCGCTGCGCTGTAATGCTCGTTTATGGCACCCAGCTTGTGGTGTTGCCGTTCAGGAAGGATACTCTCACTGATGAACAGGAGGGTGGAGTCGGAGAAGGGTACAGTTGCCGTCTGCTTGTTGTGGTTGTTGAGTTTCTCCGCAGTGCCTGAAAATACCTGCATGTCAATTTCTTAGGTGCACCAAAACCTGATCTTGAGTTTGTTTATTTCTGATCGTTCACAGGCTGACCGATTAGTTGTTTGTCTGATATTATTGGTTGATAATATCCGTTTTATTGGGCTGTCACAGATACATCACTGTCAGTGAATATGTTTTCTGGTATACACTGTTATGATGCAGACACAACTATTCAAAGAAAACATCCTTGGGGTTATTTAGAAATGGTGACTTCATGTAGTTTGTCTGGTCAAGTGCTCTATAACTGCATTGTTTACCATACTGTGTGTACTGTCAATGCTGCATGTAGCAGAGCTGAGCAGCTGAGCAGAGGGTGATTCTTGCTAAAATTGGTAAACAATGTATAATGTTTAAGATTAGATTACTCTTTTGAGTTTCTTTGCATCATCATGTTGGTGCAAAAATGATTTCACAGAAAATGTTTTTTTCCTTTTTTCAACTGAAAATTCAAACACATTGGTCACAGTATCAGTAAAGCTGTTCTTTGGTTAAACTTTTCTGACACTAGACACTTCTAAATCAAACGGATTGGGTTTAATATGTGCCACATGCATTATCTATTTCTCATCTACGTGTTCTTCTCATCCCCAGGCCTAAATCCAGCTTCCTGCCCAGCTACATCATTGATGTCCGTGAGCTGGACGAGAAGCTGCTCAACATAATAGACATGAAGTTCCTCCATGGCTACTACGAGCCAACGTTGCTCATCCTGTTTGAGCCCAACCAGACGTGGCCGGGGTAAGTCCAAAAATCTACTAGATGAAGTATTTATTTTAGTTTTGGTTCAGCTAGTTAATATACGGACAAAGTTACTGCTGAAGTTGGTGACTGAGTTTTCTACAAATATGGACCTGACCTTTTTTTCCTTCTTTTTTTTTTTTTTTTTTTTTTACACTTCTCAAACTACTTATTTCCTGATTCAACTGACAGGCGTGTGGCTGTGCGTCAGGACACTTGCAGTATAGTTGCCATCTCCCTCAACATAATGCAGAAGGTTCATCCTGTCATCTGGTCTCTCAGTAATCTGCCTTTTGACTGTACGCAAGTCATGCCTGTCCCAAAGCCGATCGGTGAGCTCAGTGAATTCTCTCCTTTTGATGTCACCCCAAAGTTGCCAGATCACAATCATTTCTGTCCGAGTTGGAGATGTTTATTTCCACTTAATCTTTCAGGTGGCGTTGTGGTATTTGCTGTGAATTCATTGCTGTATCTCAACCAGAGTGTTCCACCATACGGAGTTTCTCTTAATTCTCAGACAACTGGGACCACAGCGTTCCCTCTACGTGAGTATCATCATCATAAAACACACGCCTATATATCTTTCTTTGTTTTTTTTTCATGGACTAAACCCATCATTTAGACTTTTACCCTCACAAAATGACATGTGTTATTTACCAGGTATACAGGATGAAGTGAAGATCACACTGGATTGTTCCCAGTCTGACTTCATCGCCTATGACAAAATGGTCATCTCTTTGAAAGGAGGAGAAATGTGAGTCTGTGTGATTACCAAGAAATTGTCCAAAAATGATGAATGGATGTAGTTCATGCATCCTCACTGACTCTTGTTTTCTGACAGTTATGTGTTGACCCTCATTACTGACGGCATGAGGAGTGTCCGGGCGTTCCACTTTGACAAAGCTGCTGCCAGCGTCCTGACAACTTGTGTAAGTTTGTGTTGGAACTGTGAGCAACAACAACTGGATGAGACTGGAATTCTCTTTCTTGAACAAATGTACTTTTCTTTTTTTATCTATGGATAAACACAAAGGCCCGGATGGATCAGTTATTTTAAAATGTTGCATACTGCAGCCTTAAGTTAATATTGATAAAGGATATTGATGTGACTTGAGAACTTTGAAAGTAGACCGATTTCTTGCTTATTATTTTATTGCAAATCAGAATCTGATTCATCATAAAAATTCTGAGTAGAATTCAGCCAAACCTTCCTCAAAACCCAGAGGTAATTTCCTCATATATATTTTTAAATATGAAGGAAATGCACAATATGTACAAAGGTTTTCAGCTTTTAGAGACTTCAGAAGAGTCTGCCGTCCCTCACACTCTGCGCGTTCCCTCTCCAGATGGTGACCATGGAACCCGGTTATCTTTTCCTGGGTTCCCGCCTCGGAAATTCGCTGCTCTTGAAGTACACCGAGAAGCTTCAGGAGACGCCGTCAGAGGAGGGAAAAGAAACGCTGGACAAAGAAAAAGATAAAGAGAAACCGGTGTGTTTGTGATTGCATGAAAGACGAGATCAAATCCAGATGCTGTGCGATTGTTTAGTTATAGTGATTAGTCGGGATGCTGTTTGATTTGACATAACTGATCCATTTCAGGAGGAACCACCAAGCAAAAAGAAACGCATGGAATCTTCCACCAACTGGACAGGTATGTTGAGATATATGTGTTTTTTGTGCCAGAAATGTGTGTGTGTGTGTGTGTGAAAGATCTTCTAAGCTGTGTTTCCCTCATCTTTTATTTTTTCAGATGAGGTGGACGAGA